AGAGGAATTGGAGACTTTTAGAGGTGAAGCCCCTTCCCCATGTGCAAGAAATCTGAACCAATGCCTTTCGAGCTGTAAACACAAGTTTGTGCCACACTGTGATGCTGTTTATTTAAAGCGATAGAGTGTGTTAGGTTTAAACAGTGACTTTCCAACGTAGGTTTTATTTTCATCTATTTATTCTCAAATGTAGATGTAGGCCGTAGTGCTGAAGCTACAGAGCAGGCTGAGGGAGGACTATGGTAGAGCACTTTGTTATTGTGGGTATGAGACCTACTCCCATCTCTCTTGCAGAGGTTTCAAATTCAGATGCCTGTAGCGGCCAAGCCAAGAAGTATAAATGAGTGAAATGTGCTGGTTCTCTGTTCACTCTCATTTTCCCACTTGTGGTCCTACTTTTTTTTTTTTTAAAGGTTTTATTTATTTGACAGAGAGAAAGACAGCCAGAGAGGGAACACAAGCAGGAGGAGTGGGAGAGGGAGAAGCAGGCTTCCCGCGGAGCAGGGAGCCTGATGCGGGGCTCGATCCCAGGACTCTGGGATCATGACCTGAGCCGAAGGCAGACGCTTAACGACTGAGCCACCCAGGCGCCCCATGGTCCTACTTTTGACAGTGGCAGGGATGCCGAGAAATATTTCTTTATAAGAAAAACAGCAGTGCAAGCAGAATGATATGTGGGTACTTTCCCTCTCTTTCTGCCTGAGGACTGGCAGAATTTATTTGACCTGCACAGATTTTTTTTTTTTTTTAAGTGAGACATGCATTGTGACAGTTTCTGGACATGCCTATTGTCTTCAAGCCACCCATGAAAGTTCCCTGTCTGCCCCTGAGATCATGTCATTCAACATTAATGATCAAGCACCCCCCGCTTGCCAGGTTCTGTTCTAGGTTCTGAGGATGGGATGATGAGTTAAATCAACTCTGCCCTTGTGGAGCTTACATTTTGGTTTGTGGTTTGCAGCAGGAAGAGGGGGGAGTTGGAGACCAGGAGCGCAATGCTGAGAGAGTACGCTTCCAGCTCACCATGGAAGTTGATCCTAGTTTGCCAAATTTTTAAATTTTCCGAGAGAAGCCAGAAGTCGGATTTTTATGCCAATTTTCTTATTTTTAAATATCGGTTCGATATGTTTTAAATCACTGCGGAGTTCAAACAAAACATGTTTGCAGACAGAATCTGGCTTGCAACCTCTGTCTCACACCATCTTTGCCCTTGCTGGTCTGCTTGAGAAGAAAAATGCAATGGAATGACAGCTGTAGCCATATTAATTCCCTTCTCTGGAAGCAATGAACCAGTTGTCAGAGATTTGGCAATTCCAGGATTTAATTTGCAATACAAGGTCAACAATTTCGGGGAAAACCATTTTCAAATCAGCCTTAAAACAAACAAACCAAAAAAAGTGACTATACAAATTAGCGGGTGATTATTAAGCTAAGCTCAACAGAACGTTGTCAACAGGTTACTTGCAAGCAGGTGATATTGCAATTATCAACCTGCTTGCAACTTTGAGACTGGCTTTTAAGACGCCATTCCTATGGTAGTCCACTTGCATTTCAACTAACATGCCACACTGTGGTCCAAATTTGTAGCCATAGTGACAATTTTGTAATGATGCCCATTAGTTCATTAAATCCAATGTTCCTAAAAGGCCCAACCCAAGGCTTCTGGTACATGTATAGTATGCATAACTGTCATGTGGTTTCCTTTCCTTTTGAAAAGGAAGCTATTTGGGGACTTTCTTGATAACATAGACATCCAGACAGTTTAGCAAATACATCAGTTCTTTGATAGGCTCCATATTTTGCCAGTTCCACAAGTGATCAGTTTTTATTTTTTAAAGATTTTTTATTTATTTGCTTGAGAGAGAATGAGAGAGAGCAAAGAGGGAGAGGGAGAAGCAGGCTCCCCACTGAGCAGAGAGCCCAGAGTGGGGCTCCATCTCAGGACTCTGAGATCATGACCTGAGCCGAAGGCAGACGCTTAACCAACTGAGCCACTCAGGCGGCCCCATCTCTCTTTTTCTATTTAGCTCTGAATCCTGCCTGTTCCTCAAAGTCCACTCCAATGCCCATACGTCTTTCTCACTGATTCGGCATCTCTGGTGCCTGGAACTTGCCTCACCCCTATGCCTCTATCCACCCTCCTTGCCACAGCTTTTAGCAACTGAAGGGTAATTTCTGATCTTTTAACAGTTCCTTTCCCCCTTTGGAGGCCTTTGAATTAAATTCCTAGAAATTGCACTGGGCACACACATTTGTGTGTCAGTATTTAGATCAGCAATGACATCTTGCTTACATCTTTTTTATGTTCTACAGCCTGGTCACATGTTCACTGATAGTTCCCTGGCTCAGGGTAGGCGGATTGTTCTTCCTTGCCTCTATTCTGCAGTTTGTAAGGGATCTGACCCAACTGTAAGGGATTTGACTCCCAAATTCTGGCTTGTAGATACATGGGAACTGAGGCTCTTAATTGCAAATAATGCTTGATCTAGGCTCACAGAGATTCCCAAGCAGGGAGGAATTCTAGACCACACACTTTGCTCGTGAGACAGGGAGATAATACAATTGTATAGCTCTAGAGAGAGCTGCATTTTAAATGATACACCACTTGGTAAAGATAAAAAAAAATAAAATAAATGATACAGCACTAGGTTCTATCAAAGCACTTTTCAGATTTAGCTACCTATTTTATATGAGAGAATGAAAGGATTCTGACCTTATTTCATAATTTTACAAGGTCTTATTGTACTAGTATCGCATTCTAAATATCTGTGCATAAAGATGTCTAAAATGCAGCCTTCTGTGAAGGGACAAAAGTGGGCTGCCTTATTGGAAAGTTTTCTAAGCCCTATATTGATGTGGGTAGAGACACCCTTGTTTTGTGGTTTGTACATTTCAAATTATATGTCTGCAAGATAAATTTATGATGACAATAACATGAATCACTTGACAAATTACAGATATTTTAAAGACAAATATTAGCTATTAGAATAATACCAAGTTTAAGGAACCCAAAGAAGACAGATTCCCACTTCACAATACATTCCCAGAAATATGTGCGTTGGGATTAGTCTTTAGTCACTGTGCAGTGGAAAAAAACAAGCAAGTCAAACCTCAACTTCTGCTGATTGGCTCAGATTTTCTCATTTTGATGTAGACTTTTTTCCTTTGAGAAAATTTTATATGCATTTCCCTTCTTTTAGGAAGTAACCTATATAATCTTTGAATCTTTGATGTTACTCATACATAAAAAAGTAAATTTTAAAATTAACACTAGAAGGATTAAAATCTTTCATTTTTCAACATTGTTAGCCATATAAGAGCTCATACATATGGTGAAGTGACTTTTTAAAACTGTGACTGAGAGCTCCAAATAAAAAAAAAAAACATGTTACATATATCATTCATATATGATGTACTTTGTTTTACTGCCAAATACTGATAACCATTTTGAAAGGGCAATCTCCAAGTTGAAAAGGCTCCTTTAGTGAATGCTTATAATATTCTAATAAATGCTGGGCCTATCTTGCTCGTTAGAAAAAATTCCCATCTGGGGCACCTGGGTAGCTCAGTCTTTAGGTATCTGCCTTTGGTTCAGGTCATGATCCCAGGGTCCTGGGATCAAGCCCCGCATCGGGCTCTCTGCTTGGTGGGAGGCCTGCTTCTCCCTCTCCCACTCCCCTGCTTGTGTTCCCTCTCTCACTGTGTCTCTCTCTGTCAATTAAATAAATAAAATCTTTAAAAAGAAAAAAGAAAAAAATTCCCATTTATTATTATTCCCACACATTATTACAATCATCTGGTCCCGACTGAGTTCTGGTGTAGTATTTTTATCAATTGAAATAATATCCAATGTAATAGCTTGCAGATTAAATTTGATGATTTATCACATGACTCTAAGGAGTTTTTTTGTTTTTGTTTTTTGTTTTTTTTTCAGGTTCCAGATGGCTATTTTATCAGATTGTTTGAACATTAAATTTACCCTCATTTGCAATCCAAACTAGTTATCTGAAGTTTGCTGTATGTGCACGTGCACGCACGTGTGTGTGTGTGTGCTTACTTTTATTGTATATTTGTTTTCTAACCTCTTTGGCACAATTTTCTGGGGGTGTTCAGACTACCACGATACATGTCAGGAGAGAACTTTTCTTTTGTGCTGCCAATTCTGAGCATCTAAATTTTTGTTTGTTTGGGTTGAGGCTTCCTTTTGTTTTTGAAGTTTGCGTTCTTTATTTGTAACAACTGTATTTTTTTTATTTTTATTTTATTTATTTGATAGAAAGAGAGACAGCGAGAGAGGAAACACAAGCAGGGGGAGTGGGAAAAGGAGAAGCAGGCTTCCCGCCGCGCAGGGAGCCCGATGCGGGGCTGGATCCCAAGGCACTGGGATCATGACCCCAGCCAAAGGCAGACACCTAACGACTGAGCCACCTGGGCGCCCCGTAACAACTGTATTTTAATTAAAATTAAAATCCAAGGAGTTTTAAGAGCGCTAAAAACACATCTCTTTTCATGAGAATTTGTGTATTGCATCTCTTTGCTGGATGAAGTTCTCAGAATTTAATCTGCTAGGTCCCTAAGTGCACATATTTATCATGGACTTTATCAGGTATCATCCATTTAGGACAGTTGCAAACCTGGATCCTATTTTTAAAAAAGATAATGTAGTAAAGCATCAACAGTAAATTTTTAGCATCCTTTTAGTGCCATCAGAATTAGTCACCTTTTGGGCATAAAACAGGAAGTTTAGGCTGTCTTGATCAAGTCTGAACTCTTCGTAGTAAAACATTTTGTGAACATTCATAGACTCTCAGTTTATCAGGAGTCTGGCTCGAGCAAACAAGAACAACAGTAAAAACAGGACCCCAAATCAAATCCTGTTGATGCTGAGAATTCTCGGGACCATTTAAGTAGCATCATAGCTCTCCGACCCCAAATTGCTTCATCTATCTTATGGCCAGACCAATTTATTCCAGTTTTTAAATATTATTTTTCTTTTTTAGAGGGACTTGATTTAAATCTGTGCATTGCCGAGGGCAAGGAGCGGAGAACATGGACAGAGAGGTAAGATGGATATAACAGCAGTTCCCTTTTTGATTTTTTCCTTTAAAAGCAGCCTTTTAAGCTTTATTTTTCATAATATGATCCACGGACGAAAAGTAGAGAAGTGAGGAGAAATTTAGCCTCCTTTGTAGCACTCACGAGTAAAGAGGATGATTAACGAGTGTAGCAGACAATGTAGCAGCAAAAGAGAGTCTATGGAAGTTAAACAAAAGTGCCTTCAGAACTTCCAAGGATTCCCATGATCCATAGTAGGACCTCATTGTGCCTGTCCACTGTTTCTAGTTTTGATTAGATTTATAAACACAGCGCCACATATTTTCATGTGGCTTATCGCCCAGGGGCAGAATTAGATTGGCCGCACTGAAACTGTGAGGCTTGTGAGTTTGGGGCAAGGGCTATAGAGCGAAATAAGTAGTGTAATTGTTTTTGTGGAGTGACCGTGGGACCTCCTCTGTTCTGAATTACACATGGCTCAACCCTTTGACCTACCCAGACTCGGCAGTGGCTGGCAGAACTCCGAGAGTCCTGGGAGAGGATTCAGCACTGACGAGCTGGAGCATTATCAGTCAGGCTAGATGTGCGCCAACAGCCATCGAGAAGTTACCAGTGAGACCGTATTTGTGACCACCTCAACTTCGTTGAACTTGGCACCATATCAGTTATCATTTCCACAGGAGGTGCCAATGTGAGAGATTTTTTGGAATCCAAATGTAGCACGAATCCTTTGATTAGAAGTGTATATATATATATACACTTTTA